CTGGATGCAGCATTCCAAGTGTGGCCTTACCAAGATGTTATAAAATGATATTAACACTTCACGTGATCTTGATTCTATCCCTCTGTTAGTGCAGCCTAGCACTGTGCTGGCTTTTTTTGGCAGCTGCAGCACACGGCTGGCTCATATTTAAGTGATTGTCCATTAGGACTCCAAGATCCCTCTCACAATTACTACTATTGAGCAAGGTACTACCTACTATACCTGTGCATTTGGTTTTTCTTGCCTAAATGTAGAACCTTGAATTTTATTTTGTTAGATAGCGCCAAATGTTCAAGTCTGTCAAGATCCTTCTATATCTTAAGCCTGTCTTCTGGAGTGTTGGCTATTCCTGCCAGCTTGGTGTCATCTGCAAATTTGATGAGTTCCCCATCTACCCCCTCTTCCAAATCATTGATGAAGATGTTGAAGAGCACTGTGCACCAAACAGAGCCCCGGGGCACCCCACTACACACTTCCCTCCATGTAGATGCAGTTCCATTGAGGACCACACGCTGAGTACGGCCGATCAGCCAGCTACGAATCCATCAGGTGGTGATGCTGTCTAACCCACATTTTTCTATCTTATCAAGTAGTAGGTTGTGGTTTACTTTATCAAATGCCTTACTGAAGTCCAAGTAAATTATATCCACAGCATTCCTCTGGTCCACTAATTTTGTCACTTGGTCAAAGAATGCAATAAAATTTGTCTGGCATGATCTGTTTTTGACAAACCCATGTTGGCTTTTGGTAATGACTTTGTTTGCCTCTAGGTGTTCGCTGATCTGTTGCTTATCTTTTCCAGAATCTTCCCAAGTATGGAGGTCAGGCTGATAGGTCTGTAGTTTCCTGGATCCATTTTTTTCCTTTTTTGAAGATGGGAACTACATCAGCTCTTTTCCAGTCCTCCAGTAGTTCCCCAGTGCTCCAGGATCTTTGAAAGATATAGTTCAGTGGTTCTGTGATCACATCTGCCAGTTCCTTGAGAACCTTGGGGTGTAATCCATCTGGTCCTGGTGATTTGAACTAGTCTAGGGTGGACAGGTGTTCACTTACCATTTTCTTGCCCATCTTAACTTGTGCTTTTAATCTGTTTTTTACGGTACTGTTTTTGATGGGTTGGACTGTTTTTTCCCCTTTGTATAAAGACAGATGCAAAAAGTGCGTTAAGTAGTTCTGCTTTCTCCCTGTTGTTTGTCACATTCTTGCCATTTTCTCACAGTAATGGACCAATCATTTCCTTAACTTTTTCTTATTTTTTACATGTTGAAATAAGCTTTTGACTTTTGTCGCAAGCCTTAGTTCGTTTTGAACCTTAGCTTTCCTGACTTCATCTTCCTGCTCAGGCAGGAAACCCTATGCCATTTCAGACAAATGGTTGTCCAATCTCTTCTTAAAAATCTGCAGTGTTAGAGCATCCAGAACTTCTGAATGCAAGCCATTCCACTAGTTAATTGTTCTGTCAGGAAATTTCTCCTTAGTTCTGGGTTGCTTCTCTCCTTGATTAATTTCCATCCTTTGCTTCTTGTCCTGCCTTCAGGCACTTTGGAGAATAGCTTGACTCCCTCTTCTTTGTGGCAATCCCTCAAATATTGAAACACTGCTATCATGTCTGGTTAGTCCTTTTCACTAGACTAGACATAGCCAATTCCTGCAACTGTTATTCATATCTTTTTGGCCTCCAGCCCCATAATCATTGTTGTTGCTCTTTTCTGCACTCTTTCCAGAGTCTCAACATTTTTTTTTACAATATGGTGATCAAAACTGGATGTAGTATATTCTAAGTGTGTTGTGGGTTGAACTCATGCATCACACTCAACCATAATATATACATGTGAAACCTGTGGTCTTTAATCCATAGATTGTGGCTTAGTGCCATGTGTAAACCTAGCCTGCTTTGATTTCTTCCACAAATCAGGGTTTAAAAATAGCTTAGTGAAGAATACATGAAGCCAGTTATGTTTGTTGCCTTATAACACCAAATGGTTTGTGCTAATAGGATTGTCCCCTGAAGCATTGCTGGAACTGGGAAATGAATGGGTTTTTTTTCCCATGATGGAAAAGAGTTGTGCAAATCAATAGCAATAAAGTAAAAACGGTCTTGAGATACGGGTAGTCCTTGACTTACAACAGTTTATTTAGTGTACAAAGTTATAACAGCACTGAAAAAATGACTTATGACTGTTTTCACAGTTATGACCTTTGCAGCATCCCCATGGTCACGTGATCCAAATTCAGATGCTTGGCAACCAACCTCTATTTATGATGCTTGCAGTGTCCCATGGTCATGTGATCCCCTTTTGTGACCTTATTACAAGCAGTGAATGGGGAAGCCAGATTCACTTAACAACCGTGTTACTAACTTAACTGCATGATTCACTTAACAACTTGTGGAAGGAAAAGTCTTCATCATGGTTCAGTCCAAGCCAGGAATAAACAACATGGCGACTGCTTTAGAAAGAAGGTTGTAGTTTATTGAAGAGGAGAGCCAGACAGAAAGATGGCTCTGGAAGAAAAGAGAGAGAGCACATGTAGGGAGTGGGTTTTTATACCCTCTGGGGAGGTTGTTTCCTGTTCTTGTTTGAGGCTTTGTATTTCCTGTGTCATGTATTTTGACCTGTGTCACTTTGGCATCTGTAGATTAATCCTATTACCTCCTGTCTTAGAGTTTGGGTGGGGTATGTAGATTTTAGGTGTCTTTGTCTTCCTAAGCTTCTAGCTGGGGGCTTCCAACCTTCCTGAATGGATTATTTACATCTGCATTTCTACAGAGAATTTGTAGAATTCTGGTTTCTGCTTGGGGGAGGGAGACTTGGGGCTATTAAGGAAACTGGGCATGCTTTTCTGCCTCTTTAAGATCCTTTGAGGAAATACATTTTTCTGCCCTTTTAATATTTCCTTCTCTGGGTGGCTGACTTCCCACAAACTGTAGCATGAAAAGTTGTAAAATGGGGCAAAATTCACTTAAATGTTTCACTTAGCAACAAAAATTTGGGGCTCAATTGTCGAGGACTACCTCTACAAATTAAGACTTAGTTCTGTGCAGGAATATATAACCTGACATTATGAGTTGGATTAATCTCTTAACTCCGGTGGAGTCAAAGGGGATAGAAGCTCTTGCGTGGCTTGCTTGATTTTCCTCTTGAGCTGGTAAGTCTCTGGAAGCAGCGTCTGGGAGAGCAGGTGGGTAGGGGTAGACTGCTCCTAAACACAGAGGCTCTCTGAAACGTCAGTCATTTGAAAGCCTTTCTCCTTCTTGGATGTGTCTTATGTTTTTTTTTTACACCTTTCTAAGATTAAGCTGGTTTATGAAACCATAATTCCTTTTACACCGATTGAAGCTTCGTGGTTGCAGAGCATTGTGCTTTTTATATGTGTCTAAAACCTGTCCGTTTGCTATTCGTCCGCATAAGCTGATTTTAGGAATTTAATCGAAGCGTGATTTCATAATTATTAATTGCACAATAATTTCCATAAGGCAAGGTTTATTACTCAACGAACGCGCCCCGCCCACTCGGGCCCATAACCTCCAGCGAGGTCAACGTAGCGCTTTTGACGGTCTCGTGTCCTTCTGCACGATCCATAGTAAGCAGGGAGGGGCTGGAAAGTGGGCGGAACGGCTATTTCCTCGCCTTGTGGTTGGCCGTCAGTATCCGTTGAGAGGTGAGAATAGCCTGTATGGGCGTACATGTCTTTTTAGCGGAGATGGCGGATTGGCTTGGACTGCTATCAGTCTGCAGACGCCATATTCTGATTGGACAGCGCAGATTTCTCAGGAATCTGATTGGTCGTTGCTGTTGCGCCCGCCTATTGGCGTACGTGATAGCGTAGAGGTCAGTAGCTTGTCTCGCCAAAATCACGAACATTATAAAGGTTTAAGGCCTGCTCTTTCCTGAGGGCCTTTCCTTCTCAATCTCACTTTTCCCGCCCCTCCTGGGTTGCCCTACGCCACACAATCGCTTCTCAAGAGTCAACTCCGTCAGCGTCCAACCGTCAGCCAGGCCGATCACTTCTTCACCTACGATTGGCTGCGACTCATGACTATCATTTTAAAGTCCTCTAAACCAACTTCCCACTTTATCCCCGCCCTTTCGAATCCCGAATTCTGAGTGGGCAGCCTTTGCGTCATTCCAACGGGTTTGAGCCAGTCGTTAACTCGGGGCTCCTCGCGCTCGTCCGCTATTGGCTGTCGCCTTGCCGGCTCGCCCCTTTAGCCCCCTTGAAGGGCTCAGCGCCTCAGGCGGACGAAGTGAGACCGGCTCGAACGTGTGAACTGTGCGAGGCATCGGCAGCGGGGCGGTCATGGCGGCCAGGCTCGTGCTACTGACGCTGGGCTCCTTGCTCTGCGCCCTCGGAGGCGCCTCAGCAGCAGGTAGGGCAGAAGGAAGGCTGGTCCGAGGGGGCTCCAGGGCGAC